AGATAATATAGGCCAGAGACAAATCTTTCTGATCTTTAAACAACTAAACTATCAATTTAGAAACTAATAACTATGATAAAATTATATTAATGCTTACTTATTTTATTTTAATTTTTTAAGAAGATTTTATTTATTTGACAGAGAGAGACACAGCAAGACAGGGAACAAAAGCAGGGGGAGTGAGAGAGGGAGAAGCAGGCTTCCCGCTGAACAGGGAGCCTGGTATGGGGCTTGATCCCAGGACCCTGGGATCATGACCTGAGCTGAAGGCAGATGCTTAACAACTGAGCCACCCAGGCAACCCCAATTATTACTTATTTTAAAGATTCTTTGAAAGTGCCACATATATACTTGTATTCTTGTTAGTTAGCAAATTTTGATAGATCTTTGTGATGAATCTATCTTTTTTATTTTTTATTTTTTTAAAGCTTTTATTTATTTATTCATGAGAGACAGAGACAGACAGAGAGAGGCAGAGGGAGAAGCAAGCTTCCTGCTGAGCAGGGAGCCCGATAGGGACTCGATCCCAGGACCCCGGGATCATGAGAATCTATCTTTTTTTCCAAGATGTTATGGGGCGCCTGGGTGGCTCATTTGTTAAGTGTCTGCCTTCGTCTTGAGTCATGATCCTGGGGTCCTCGGATCAGGCCCTGCGTGGGCTCCCTGCTCAGGGGGAAGCCCACTTCTCCCTCTCCCAGTCCCCCTGCTTGTGTACCCTCTCTTGCTGTCTCTCGCTCTCTCTCTGTCAAATAAATAAATAAATAATTAAAAACAAGATTTTATTTATTTATTCGAGAGAGAGAAAGAGAGTGAGCATGAGCAGTGGGGAGGAGCAGAGAGAGAGAGGGAGAAGCAGACTCCCCTCTGAGCAGGGAGCACGACAGGTGGCTCTATCCCAGGACCCTGAGATCATGACCTGAGCTGAAGGCAGACGCTTAATCAACTGAGCCACCCAGGTGCCCCTGAATCTATCTTAAACCACCAACAGGTCTCAGACTTCTTTTATTTTCAGTTTACCTATTTTTTAATAGTTTTTATTTTAATTCCAGTTAGTTAACATACAGTGTTATATTAGTTTCAGACTTCATTCAGGAATTTATTTTGTTCTTCTACCTTCACTTTTCTTCTGATGCTATTTTGGACTTCTTTATTTGTAAAATATATATTTATTAGGATAATTACAGGTTAAGACCTTAGCTTAACCAAGTAAGAGATATTTCTTTTTGTCAAAATTAGCCTTAGGCTGATGATTGTATGAAATTGTTTCTTTTCCCTCTTGATAAGTTTTGTTTATACTTCTCTTTCTCCTCGTGACCTCATAGAGTGCTCCTTTGGATATCAGCCTTACAAATATTATGTGATTCTTTGACTTTCTATTTGATATATGGAAACTTAGATGTGCAATCACTCCAAATAAAATTCAGTACAGGATTTATCATCACCTTGATTGCTCTTAACTGTGTCATTTACAAGCCTGGTTGAAACTGTCATTGCTCCTCTCTCATCCAAAATGTTCTGACTGGCTTTTTAAAGCCCATTCATCATTTTGTCCTACTTTCACCACCTCCACCATCACCAACATTTATTGAGCATTTATGTGGTGGGTACTCTCTTAAGTTGTTAACATACATTAATTTATTTAATACAGCAATCAGGTAGGTAATATTATCATTCTCATTTTGTAGATGATTTAACTGAGGCACAGAAAGATATACTAACTAGCCCAGGGACAAAGAGGTGGGGAGTGGTAAAGCTTGGTTGCAAAACCACACAGCTTCTTCTCCAGTATCCCTGCTCTTAATCACCACACTTCCAAGTTGGTGGGTGTCTCTTACCTGTCCTTCTAAAATCTGAACATATTTTTTCTCTCTCTACTTAAAAACACAAAATAAATATAAAACATGCATCAATTCAATAAAATATGTTTTTGTGTCCTGTCTTTTAAATCTGTCATTAAAAATATCCATCTATTTACTATTCAAAGGGGCTGAGACTCAGAGGTGATTTATGTAATAAAATGACTTTATAACTCCCTTATATTCAAACAAAATTATGCATGAGTGGAGGGCACTGCACCATCTACTCCTCCGAGATAGTCCAGGACAGAGTCATATTATTTGAGGAGAAAATTGAAGCCTGAGTGGACACCTCCTGGGGTTCCTTCCTTCTCACAGAGCCAGACATTTTGCAGTTGTCCAGGCAGAGGACGAGCCAATTTTAATAAGACTGTTCTACAGAAAGCTGAAAATGACTTAACAAATGATAAACTATTTACTGATTCTATGCCATTAGGCTCCTCCAAAGTACTTGAACAAGCACTTAAAGAAAAAAAAAAAGAACACTAAACTTCAAGTACAGCTCTTTCTGGCATACGCAAAGCTTCCTCTTAGTTAACTAGAATGAGGTTGTTTGGAGGTGGTTTCTGCATCACATTAGTAGGTATCAAAATAAAATTCTATGTTTTAACAATTAGTGGACAGGGATTTATTTTTATTCATTTTCCCAACTTTATTAAGGTATGATGACAAATAAAAATTGTACCCATTAAGTTGTACAATGTGATGGTTTGATCTATGTATCCATTGTGAAGTGATTACTTCCCAATCAGTTAATTAACATATCCATCACCTTAGTTAAACCCCTCCTTTTTATGTGAGAACACCTGCAATCTACTCTTTTACCAAATTTCAAATATACAATACATTATTATTAACTGTAGTCACCATGGTGTACATTAGGTCTAAGGAACTTATTCATTTAGTAACTGAAAGCTTGTACTCTTTGACTAATGTATCCCTTTCAGCACACCTCCCAGTCCCTAGTAACAACCATTCTATTCTCTGGCACTCTGTTGCTTATTTTCTTAGATTTTGTATATAAGTGAGATCATGAAGTATTTGTCTTTCTGTGTTTGGTTTATTTCACTTAGTATAATGTCCTCCAGGTTCATCTATGTTATCACAAATGGCAGGATTTACTTCTTTTTAAAGGCTGAATAATATTCCTGTGTTTGTGTGAGTGTGTGTGTGTGTGTGTGTGTTTAGTGTGTGTATATTTAACCACTCATGTGTCAATGAACTTAGGTTGTTTCCATATCTTGTCTATTGTGAATAGTGTTGAAATGGACATGGGAGTGCAGATATCTTTTTGAGATAGTGATTCTTATTTCATTTGGATATATACCCAGGAGTGGGATTTGCTAGATCATATGGTAGTTCTATTTTTAATTTTTTTAGGGATCTCCATTCTATTTTCCTAGTGATTAATACTGTATTATATTCCTATCAACAGTGTACAAGGGCTCCCTTTCTTTCCACATCTTTGCCAACACTTGTTATATATATATATTTAAAGATTTTATTATTTATTTGTCAGAGAGAGAGAGAGAGAGAGAAAGAGCACAAGCAGGGGGAGTGGCAGGCAGAGTGAGAGGCAGCCTCCCTGCTGAGCAAGGAGCCCAATGTGGGACTCGAACCCAGGACCCTGGGATCATGACCTGAGCCAAAGGCAGCAACTTAACCAACTGAGCCACACAGGTGTCCCAACACTTGTTATCTTTTGACTTTTTGGTAACAGTCATTCTAGTAGGTGTGAGGTAATATCTTGTTGTAGTTTTAATTTGCATTTCCTGGATGGTTAGTGATTTTGAGCATCTTTTCATATAACTGTTGGCCGTTTTAATGTCTTTGGAGAAATCTCTATTAAGGCCCTTTGCCCATTTTAATCAGATTATTATTTGGCCATGCAGTTGTATGAGTTTTTTGCATACTCTGGATATTAACCCCTTATTGGATGTATAATTTGTATCTTTTTTTTCATTCTGTAGGTTACCTTTTCATTGTATTGATTGTTTCCCTTGCTGTGCAGAGTTTCTGAGTTTGATTCAGCCCTACTTTTTTTTAATTTATTTTTTATTTTTTATTGTTATGTTAATCACCATACATCATTAGTTTTTGATGTAGTGTTCCATGATCCATTGTTTGTGCATAACACCCAGTGCTCCACGCAGAACGTGCCCTCTTTAATACCCATCATCAGGCTAACCCATCCCCCCACCCCCCTACCCTCTAGAACCCTCAGTTTGTTTTTCAGAGTCCATCGTCTCTCATGGTTCGTCTCCCCCTCCGACTTACTCCCCTTTATTCTTCCCCTCCTGCTATCTTCCTCTTTTTCTTTTTTCTTAACATATGTTGCATTATTTGTTTCAGAAGTACAGATCTGTGATTCAACAGTCTTGCACAATTCACAGTGCTCACCATAGCACATACCCTCCCCAATGTCTGTCACCCAGCCACCCCATCCCTCCCACCCCCCACCGCTCCAGCAACCCTCAGTTTGTTTCCTGAGATTCAGAATTCCTCATATCAGTGAGGTCATATGATGCATGTCTTTCTCTGATTGACTTATTGATGGTGAGAAATTTCTATCCCACAGGAACTCCAGGCTCTTTCAAATCAAGTAAAATGGCTGTGTCTCTGCCTCAGTGTTCTTGAATATTCTTTAACAGTTAGGAGGCTGGTCTGTCCTGCACACAGGAGACTCTAGAAGGTCATGTGGCTTAACCTAGTCTCATATATAGTATCAGGATGTAAACTCATTAAGAAATTAAAATTAATTATTACAAACTGGCTAAATAGAAGACAAATACTGGAATGGGAGAGAGTTGCTGAGTTAATTGGTTCGAGTTAGTAAAATTTGGAGCAACAGCACCATAGAACTCTATAGGACATATATCAGTTCCTTATATTAAGGCTAACAGACTTAGCCAATCAACACAACTCACACTGAGTAGATATGGAGCCTCTAGTTAATTGAAAAACATGGTTACAGTATTTTACACCTTCTCTTGTCAAGAGGTAGAGTCTATTTCCCAACCTGAAATCTGGCCTGGTTTCCTGCCTTGATTTGACCAATGGAATGTGGCAAAGATGATACTGCATGAATTCTAGAACTGAGGCATCGTTTGCTTTGCACCTTCTGCCTTTCTTGTATCGCAGAGTTCCTACTACCCTGTAAAGAAATTGGGCAAGACTACTGAATAATAAAATACCCCTTGGAGAGAAAGGCCCAGCGAAGCCAGCATTAAGGCCCTGGACATGTGAATGAGCCCATCTTAAACCCTCCAATCCCAAACTGCCAGATAACTGATGCCTCATGAGAAAACCCAGGTGAGATCAGCATGAGACCTGCCCAGCTGAGCTCAGCCCTAACTGCCGAGTCAGGAGCAAGTAAAATGTCCTTGCTTTAAGCTACTTTGTCATACAGCAATAGGTAACTGATAACAGAGTGCTCTATATAATGATAGTTTATCAATGGCCACATCACTGACCCTCTGCATACTTTTGATATAAAGATATACAATATAACTGGAGGAGATTTTCTGTTTTGTTAATGTTTCTTTTTAAGAAGCTGACCTATGAGAGATTAAACTGTTAGTGATTTGCCTCATCCCAGCCCCACTACCCTTTGGGTTCATCCCCTTCAGTTGCTGTTATAGCACCCTCTTCACCTCTCCACATCACACACATAATAAAGGACTAGCTAACTTTTGATGGAATGTCTGCATATCCTATTACCTCTAGTTATCCTTTCTAATGGGACACAGGTGACGGTCAGTGCCACACTGGAGCCCTGCATTGCTTCCTCCTTCTCTCCCTCTCTTCTTTCCTATGGAGATGATTAGCATTATTTTCACTTGTTTGAAGGTATATATTTTTCATTCTTATGGAGTTTCTGCCTTCATGGATCAGAAAACCAAATAGGTAATTTCCACAAAAATCCCTGGTCTCCTTTCCTTCTTCCCTCAAGTGACCTATTGCTAACTTTTCCCTTTGGTTGCTGTGGCCAAATTTCTGTGGTTCTACGACACAACTCCCTTGGCTAAATGTAGTACGGTGGCAATCCCAGGTCTCTACAGCAGCGCTCAAGTAACTTTCCAGTGCTGCTAATTAGCTGTGTTTCCTGCTTGGAGGCATTACATAGGGATTTTTATGCCAGCTGATAATAACATTTCAAAGGCAAGAGCTCTGCATTCTGTTGTCCTCTAAGGCCATGGTCATTTTGACATGGGTCCAGGTGAGTTACAGAGGTGTGGACACAGTCTTTGATGCAGATGAGAGCTTCAAGTGGAAACACACAGAGCAGTGAGAAGGGAGATCTAATCAACTAGAAGAAATGAATCAATTCTGTTATTCAACGGGGAGATTATAGCAGATAAATTCACAACCAAAACAGAGAAGACAGCAAGATGAGTGGAGTCAAATCACCACTTCATGACCTGTATTGTAGGAGTTATTCTAGTGACATTTGCAGATGTGTCTTGAGTGTTGGTCTCCAGGATATAGTAGGAGCAGAATATCTGAGTGCAGTGGGACTAAAGCAAGAAGAATGTTGGACAGTGCTGAAGAAAGTAGCTTTGATATATTATGATTTCCTGGGCTACACTCAGGAGGCCCAGGTTGGACCATCCCAGTAAAAGAAGTGTCGTGTAGTGGACATGAGCTGGATTGTCTAGAAACCAAGAGTCAACCCTATTGATTGTAGATTGGCTACCGGCTTGTTCCTTAACTTCAGTAATGCTATTTATCCTCTCTGCCCCTGGGTTTTCCTAACTTTAAGATAAACAGATTTTATAATCACTAGCAGTTTCACTCAGGTCCCAGCAATGGCAGTTTTCTACAGGGCTTGCTGCATTGACAGCAGTAGAAACAACCACTCTGACAGCATGCAGCTCAAGTGCCCATTTCTGTACATCTTTGTGCTATCTTGTCCTGAGCTGTCTCTACACATCTCCAGAGGAGCAAACTAGTGGAGAAATGCATAGGATGATGAGATTGAGATGTTTCTCTATGAATTTTATTCTTTTCCAGTAACTCTAGTTTAAACTCAACCTTGTGAGTAATTTGAGACTGACTCAGGTTAAGAAGTAGAGGACTACCAATCTTTGAGTGACCTCCACATTGATCTACTTTCAAAATACTCCGGAATTGTCATCCTTGCTTGAACTGGAGGTGAGCCCACCTTATTTCTAATTTGTTTGCTATCTGTGCTGGCCAGCACAAGGATGAGCAGACCTGAGAAGAGAAGAGAGTCAGCTGGTCACTAGATGATCTCTGAGGAATCTCTCATTTCTTACATTATGGGCTTGTGGTGGGGGTGTGGGCAGCGGTCAGTGCTGTGTGAGGAATAGTTGTGAGACTCGGGACACTACAAAGGCACCCTGGAATTTAGTTGCTGGTCACCATTGATATCCTGTTTTCTTTTTGCAGAAGGAGTTAAGGGGACAGTTTCACTTGCCTGCATGGAAAAGATCAGGTTTAAACTACTATTCTGCCCTTGTTTAAAAGTGGAGACTGATACCAAGTAAGGCCCCGAGAGACCTCAAGTTTTCAGTTAGGCAGAAAGTGAAAGACTGGCTAGGAAGGCTGGGCCACCAACAAGTGTCCCATCTTGTTTTCCATCTTTTTACTAACACTAGGAATTATCTACTTTTTAAATGCTTAGCTAATCTAATGCATTAAAAAGTGTCATCCATTTTCAGGGGGAAGATAAAATAAGGTCTTGTGTTAAAACTACCAAGAGTTTGGCATGGAGTGGGATTTAGAAGCATTGCTGGAATAACTGTCAGCTTCCAGGAGGGTAACTCAGAATCAATCGTTTGCTTGGATGAATTGCATCAGTGGGGAGATTCCTGGTGATAATCCCTGTGAAAGGAATCTAACTGCTTCCAAGCTGAGTTGCTTTTTATTAATGTAGATATCATTAACACCAGCATCAGGAAAAAGTCTAAAAAGGACATTTTAAACATATATTTAGAAACTTTTATGTATAGCAATGGAGAATTAGATAGTGGTCTTTGTTAGAGCAGTAACAGAACCATATGATTGTTAGGGTTTCCGGTTTTGTCACCACATTGTAAGAAAAATTTGTCTTCCCCTATGTATGTAAAGTAAGAGTGTCAGAAAGTACTTCATAGAGGAAGGAGTTTTGCAGAGTGGGCTGTTGAAGAATGGGAAGAACTGGAGAGATGTAATGAAGGCCCAGGCACTGCAGGCTGATTGAAGAACATGGAGGGAAGCCATGGGCTGGAATATTTGAGTGTGTGTGTGTGAGGGAGGGGTAAATACCATTTGAGTCCTGTCCAGGGAAGAGGAGGTGGTTCAGCTAGAGTGGGAGGGAGAGGAAGGAGTATAGCAACAAAGTCAGCGAATATCTTAGGTGTAGCTTTGATCTTTGCTATAAATTGGAAGATACATTATGAAGATATCTTTGGAAGATTTAAATCCCAAAGACAAATTGTGTAATTTCTCAGATCCACATACGCTGACATTTTGTAAAAGTGAAATTGATAATTTTTTTTATCTTGTACCTGTTCTTTTTAAATTTAATTTAATTTTATTATGTTATGTTGGTCACCATACAATACATCATTAGAAATTGATAATATGTTTACTGCAAGAATGTAAGATAGTGGGAAGAGCTTATAAAGTGAAAAGCAAAAGATCCCTTTTCCTGCATAATTTCCTAGTCCTTAGAGATAATTATTATTAACTTTTCTTCTTGCATATCAACCTAGGCATTGTTAATCCATTTTTTAATTTATTTAATTTTATATATGTAATTTATTTGTATAAATATTAAAAAGCCAGATAGGATAAGATGGATGCAAGATACTGCCCCCTCTCCTCCTGTCTATGTATATTTAGGTGAACTTTAGCAAAATAAATGGCTATGTAGTATACTATAGATGGGATCTACTAGAGATTATTCAACTAGTCCCTTATTTCTACACATTGAAATTGTTTTCAGGCTTTTGCTTTTATAAGCAACAATGCTTTAGTAAACATTTCTGTATCTCTCTCTCTCTCTCTTTTTAAGATTATTTATTTATTTGACAGAGAGAGACAGCGAGAGAGGGAACACAAGCAGGGGGAGCGGGAGAGGGAGAAGCAGGCTTCCTGTGGAGCAAGGAGCCCGATGCGGGGCTCGATCCCAGGACTCTGGGATCATGACCTGAGCCGAAGGCAGACGCCCAACGACTGAGCCACCCAGGTGCCCTCCCCTCTCTTTTTTAAAGATTTATTCATTTATTTTAGAGAAAGAGTGCAAGTGCAGGGTGGGGAGGGGCAGAGTGAGAGGGAGAGAGTGTCTTAAGCAGACTCTGTGCTGAGCCTGTGGCCCACCTGGGGCTCAATCTCAAGACCCCAAGATCAGGACCTGAGCCAAAACCAAGAGTCTACTGCTTAACCCATTGTGCCACTAAGGTGCAACTCTTTGTATCTTTTTTAAATTGAGGTGTAATTGACCTATTCTATCAATTTCAGGTGTATAACATAATGACTTAATATTTGTATATACTGCAAAAAGTTCACCACAATAAGAACTTTCAAGATTTACTCTCTTAGGAACTTACAAATAGCCAATACATTCCTACAGACTCTAGCCACCATGCTGTGCATTAATTACATCCTTATGACTTACTAATTTTATAACTGTATCGTTTGACCCCCTTCACCTATCTCACCCATCCTTCCGATGCCCCTCCCCTTTGGCAACTACCAATCTGTATCTCTTCTTTGTTCACTTTGTTTCTGTGCACACACACAGGTATCCAGATATTTTTCTGAGAAGTAGAATCACTGAGTCAAAGTATATTTTGGAAAGTATTACCAACTTGGCAAGTGTTTTATCAGTTTACTCTCCCACCACCAGTTATGAGACTACCTGTTTCCCCATTTCCTCTCAAACCCTGCATTTTGTCAAGTCTTTAAATCCCTGCCGATGTTATAAGAAAAACTAGTGTCTTGCTATTTTAGCATACATTTATTTAATTCAGAATGAGGTTAAGTATTTTTATATATATCAAGAGAGCCAAGTGTAAAGACCGATATTTTCACTTTTACTCTTTCTCTTTTACTGGCATTTATGATTTATCGTTGTCATTCCGGTCTCACATTCCTTCTTCTCTTTGCCCCAAGCAGAATGCCCTCCACTGAACCCATAACTGTGTCCCTCTCACTAGAACTTATTTTCCTTCTATGGGATGGTGCGTGCCATGCTCTGGCATCCTCTACACCTCTCTTTCCTTCCTTCCTTTAAATAACTCATCTTGCCTTGCTAATTCATAGCTATGAGACATTTACATATCAGGTCTTTGGAGAAAACTTAC